ACGACCCGAGATCGTTTACTCACGCCACCGACCGCAAAAGCACCCTCCTCCGAACTCCGAACTCCCGAATTCTGAACTCAGAATTCAGAACTCAGAGCAACCCCTTCCCGCGGAAGACCGCGAAAAAAAAGGTCGTCTGACTTTCAATTAATCAAATTATCGCGCGCCCCGGGGGTTGGTCCAAAATCCAGGGGGTTGGGGGAGTACTTGAAAATTGGCGATGGAAGGAGGACAAACATTTGTCCACTTTTTGCAATTTGTACAGGTCAACCGCCTGGCATCGATCCGTTTTTTTTTTTTTTTGATACTGTCTACTGTAAAATTTTGATTGTTTACGTTTGCCGCGTGTTTTTCAGCACGCCACTGGCAACGTCAATAAATTGTCAAAATCTGTCAAAATTTTTAATGACTGTGTGACGGCTAATAACCGAAAATCGATTTGTTCAAGGCGCTCTATTGATTGCGATTGAGTTTGTAGTTTTTCGAGCGTTTTGTGTGGATACTGCAGACGTTTTTATGGATTGCTCTTCTGGACAAACAATCAAATCTGTGCGCTTAATGATAAGGGACCATTTTAGAGTTTTTAACGTCAGGCGGTTATATTTCAACCATGTAAAAATGAAATAAATTCGAACATGTGGGTGATGGTGAGGGGTTTTAAACGGTTAAAATTAAACGAAACTTAGAATTTCACAAGGAATGAGATATATAGGTTTTAGATTATAGGTTTTAGTACTAGATATTTTGAATATATTTAAAAAGGGGAAAGTAGAGAGACAACTTGTCTTTCAAAGATTCATAAATATATTTCAATATTCTTATTTCTAATTTATTATACTCATTTTACTGTTATTTATGGCGTGAAACATTGATTTATTCTAACTAACAGTCCTGAAAATATTTCATGTTGATTTATTTACTTTTAAATTTGTATGAATTTATGCAAGAGATAAGTGATTTTATTAATTCGGGGTTTAGTGGACTAACAAATGATATATGATTTTATATTTTCTTATGCTCAAAAATATTTTATTTATATTCTTTAAGCTAAATAGTTAAATATAAGCAGTTTCTTTTTGGTTTATAAATAACTATTTATTTGCATTTGATTTTTTTTCCCAGTACACTGCCTTTCCGTTTTCTGGCTTTCACTTTGCCCAAACCACAATTCCTGAAACTTTCGCACCTGTGTGGGATGACGAGGAAAACCAAAGTCTGCAAGTGCAGGACGCCGACCATCTTTTCCAACCACAATCCAAAAAAGCCGTTGTCTAACCCTTTTTTTCGGCTTAATTGCTATGCCAGATCATAGCCATCACTCCGCTGCAGCAACAAAGTAACTGACAGCAGATACAATCCTATCGTATACAATTCGAATACGAATCCGAATCCTCCGACCCGAGTCAATGGTTGTATCACATGCATAAATTATCGTATCTGTAACAGTCGCGCATGTTTCAGTTCATTAGGGGACAGTTTCGACCTTAACCCTTCCCCTGTCCATGTCCACGTCCACAGCCATATGCAAAATAATGCCGCATCATTAGTGCGACGACCCACAATGGGAAAGGGTTGCAAGTGGGGCACGTGTCGAGCACTGAACACTGAACACTGGCTGCAAGTCCTCCGATTCGGGACTTTTTCGCCCTTAGACAACCCAGAAATCGTGTTTTTCACTGGATTTGCATATGCTGATGTTCACAGCATCATGTGAATTAGATTCCAGTGTTTTTTCATTGTCGCAGGTCAAAGGGTTTAGGGGGATGGACAAAACTGTCTAGTCATACAGGTCTGGTTTAAGTTGTGTTTGTAATTCGAATTTAGATATCATATCACTTTAATAAAATCTTGAAGACTTAACCTTAAGCAAACATAAAATAATTTAAAGGAATATCGAAGCTCTAAAGTTTTCAGACTAATTTTAAAAACTGTTCTACTTAGGATGCCCCGCCTCCGATTTTTTGCACAACGCCTCCTGTTCTCGGCCAGCGGTTTTTTCCCACACAACAGGGAAACCACAGAAAAATGTTGACCTTGTTTAGTTTTGGCAAAATAACCCGCAGAATCGGCGATCCATCTGGGCAAGGCCGGTTACCTGAGGAGATTGGAGGGCTGGGAGGAGAGACTTGGACAGGTACTCACGCTTTATCCACTCATAAGTCACGGCTTCGTTTGCCAGCCAAAGAATCATAAATCAGCTCCTCATATAGGGAATGAAACGGGCAACAGTTCATCGGTTCGTCGGGCATATCTCTAATAATGATATCAGGGCACGCTCTTCGGGGATACCGCATTCTGATTGCCCCATCGACGGCTTCCCGAAAAGCGGGAGACTTTTCACAGGCCCCTTTCCCTTTTTCGTATGGCATGGGGCCCCAGCAGGCGAGGCATCGTGACACCATCTCCATCTCCATATCCATTTTCAACTGCTGCAACCTGCACTGAAGAGAGCTCACAAAGATTCTTTAAGCCAGCGAATAAATTATTGCACTGAAAACTATTTAAAACCCAAATTTACATTTTATACAACCCTTTCTTCACTATTAAAAATCTTGTAAATTGTAGTTCTTTTCTTTTTTCGATTGTATTCCAATACTAGTTTTATTCTTAATATAAGGGTCACCTATTTTTAGCTGTGTACTGAAAAAACAATTACGAAAGGAATAAGTAGGAAACCTTCAGAGTACTTAAAAAATGTTACTAGACTACAAATTACTCAGTTGTTACTTGTTAATATCGACTTGATTTGTATTTAATTTTAAAGGCTTTAAATATTTTTTTTATATTATTAAAGACTGATGAAATTCTAAAAAAGATGTAGCTTTCTAAAAAATTGAAATGAAATTTACCCCTATTCTTTGAGTACTATCAACTACCCGGCATTATAATGCTCACCTTTAAGTAAGCAAAGGAAAAGAACAGAAAGGATAAAAGCTCCATCTTCAATTCCTTTTGCTCTCCCACAAAAAGAGTAAGAAATATCAACAACAGCATATCTCCAAAATGAGATGAGCGTATTCGGTTACTCTCGCAGTCTTTCTCCCACGACTCGATAAGTGCAGACATGGGCGTAGTTAGAGGGGAATATTTTCTTAAAAATAAGTATTTTGTATTAGTTGGCACAGAATATTTTATAACGAATGTTTCCTAAATATATTAATTTTTGTCCCGACAGAATTACATTTTTTTAAATATTTATGTCAAAAGAAAGACTTTTAAAATAATTTTGACTACTCCCCTGACTGAAAGAGGGGGCAGCTTGTATGCACACGAGCAGAAGAAACTGCGACAATGATGATGGTTAAGATGATGATGAGGATGATCAAGCGACGATGTGATTGAAACAAAACATCTTATTATTACCTTCGACCGGCCAAAGGAACGACCCCGTGCGACCTCGACGTAAAACGAGCGAATAAAAAAAAGCAAAGCCAAAAACAAAGAAGCACACAGAGAGTGTGCAAAATAATTCCCACGCTCAGAGGCCAGAAACAGCCTTTTGTCGTCTCCGTCTCCTTCGCATCATCATCACCATTATCATCATCGTGGTTCTCCTCCGTCGTGCCCTATAAGGCAACGTCCTTCCAACGCCCCTGCCCGCCCCCCTTTTTGCGGAGTTTGCAGAAAACACAAAAAATGCAAACAGTGTCGAAATTTCTGCGCCCGATTTTCCTCCTTTAGTTTCCCTTAGCCCTTTTTACTTGGTTACGATTTTACGATTTTTGTAGGCTGGCCCAAGAAGTCTGCGTGATTGATTTCACTCTGCCCCCCGAGTGGCGAGCATAATTTCTTAACTTTCACAGCTCATTGAGCCTGAAAAGTCACTCACACGGGGACAGCTTGACAATTGACAGGTGAGGGTATCAAGTGGTTAGGCCTCATAATTATAGTTTTTAGTGATGCGTAAAATGTGGACCGAGTATGGGCTTTTCGGCTGCTCCCTTTGGAGTTTCTGACCCGTGGATGCACCCAAAAAAATGGGCATTAACTTAAAGCACTTCTTATATTCTTCAAGAAAGAGAGAGTTGTAAAAACCTCAAATTAGATACATTTATTTATATTTTCACTTATAATTTACAGTTTATTTTATTTCAAGTACAACTATATTTTCAAACTGTATACTAACATCCCATTTTTCCCGGTGTTTTCAAGTGTGCTGGTCTTGGGACCGACATCAGGTTCATGTTAATACTTTGAGGTAACCACAAAAATTGCATACCCCTTCCCATTCTAATCAAAGTTTTTGCCCATTGAGCCAGATTATTTTACATTTCATTAATGTGTCGAAAAAGGGAAATACTTTCAATGAAAGCGGCTCCCAGACCAGCTGCCTGAGTTCCCCATCATCATCATGGTAATCATCATCATCATCTTCGGTCCAGGGAATCTGGAATCTGTGTGATCGATCAGTGCTGCGCAATTAACTTACAAACTTATGATTTTGATTATATATTGCCGAATGGGTGGTGGATGCAAACCACCGCAAACCACAGTGGTAACACCAACAACAGGTTGACAGGACCTTCTGTTCCATTTCCATACCGTTCCTATACAGTGAAGAAATATTGTGAATTTATTAGGTACAATTAAAAATGTGGATTTCAAAATTTGATTTTAATATGATAAATAATAAAAAAAAAACTTTTTTGTATTTTTATAAAAAATAAATCTCAAAAAAAGATATTTTTTCAATCATAATAATTTTTTTTTACAATTTATTACGCTTAAATTAAATTAATCGTTGTTGATTAAATTCTGTCTCAGAGACTTCTTTTAAATTCAATAAAGATTTTTTTCCTACCCCTAAATTATACACAGGAATTTTTTCAGTGCACGGCCTGCTTATCCACCACTGCGTCGGTGGAGTGGGCAGCTGAGCCGCTGCCGCTGCCGCCGCCGCCGCCGCCGCAGGGTGGTGGTGGTGAGTTGCAACTTCAACTTGTTCCTGAGGGCTGTGGACGAGCCAACCTGACTCGCTTCGGTTATTCGTTCACCACTCGCGCTTGAATACGGACGTGTTTTCAGGTCCAAGTCGAAGTCGAAGTCGAATCACAACGGATCGGTCGGTTGAAAGTTCAAAAACTCGTCAATTGACATAAATTGAGTGCAATTTGCAGTGTTTTCGCGAAATGTGTGTCTAACTGAGCCCACCGAATTCTCCGCTTCTTGTCGCGTGTTCAGCTCATCACATCGACTTAATTAGAAGATATAAACAAATCGTACATATAGTTCGCACTCGAAATGGCCGACGAAAGCCTGCACACTGTGCCCCTGGAGCACAACATAGACTATCACATCGTGACACTCTTTGAGCGCCTGGAGGCGATGCGCAAGGACTCACCTGGCGGAGGCCACGGGGTCAACAATCGGTTATCCAGCACCCTGCAGGCTCCAAAGCGCAGCATGCAGGCCGAGATTCGCACGCTGGAGTTTTGGAGGTGAGTCAATCCTGGACATCCAGGATAATATCCTGCAATCCCAAAAAACCAAGAAATTCGTAGTAAAATTAAGTACTAACGATAGTACAAAAATTCTTGATTTAAAATTAATATATCTTCCCTTAAATTTTAGTTTCTGAAAGATTTATATATTTTTTTTATAAAAAATTTTTTTTTTTTTTTTTTAATTATAAAAATTTTAGAACATTTTATCAGTTATTTAAAATAAGTAAAGAAAGTTCGTATTATCCTGCACCAAAAAAAAACCAAGAGATTCGTAGTAAAATTAAGTACTAACGATAAGACTAAAAATCTTGATTTAAAATTGATATATCTTACCTTGAATTTTAGTTCCTGAAAGATTTATAGATTTATTTTTAGAAAACTAAACAAATTTTTTTTTTAGTTTTTGTAGAGTTATACAAATTTTAGAACATTTTATCAGTGATTTAAAATGGGTAAAGAAAGTTCGTATTATCCTGCACCAAAAAAAAAACCAAGAGATTCGTAGTAAAATAAGACTAAAATTTTTGATTTAGAATTGATATATCTTACCTTGAATTTTAATTTCTGAATCATTTATAGATTTATTTTTAGAAACCTAAAAATTTTTTTTTTTTATTTTTGTTGAGTTATAAAAATGTTAGAACATTTTATCAGTGATTTGAAATGGGTGAAGAAAGTTCGACCTTATATTCTAAACCACCTTTCACTACACTTAATTCTAGAATCCTCATTTTTCCTGGTGTAAATCTACTTCGAACCTTTTGTTTTCGTAGCCATTATCTGCACTTGCTTTCAATTTGCTCAACTTTAGATGGCAATTGTTGGATGTCATCTGGCTTTGTGTGAACTCTAAGTAATTGAAATCCAAGAGTTCTCCCGGCGACATCATCAAAATAATCGCCAAACTAAATACGGGCGAAGTTTCGAGCACTTTGTGGCTCATAGCAGGTCCTTTGCTCAAGGAACTGGCAAATAATTAACATTTCATCGCGAGCTGATGGAGTAATTAAATCTTAGCCGGGAGCAATGCTTTTGAGGCATGCCGAGCGCAAGAATTCCAACTAAACTAAGCGACACTTTGTCCTCGAAATCCCAACTGACTGACTGACTTACTGACTGACCATTAAAAAAAAAGAAAACGTGCATTAATGGAAGGGAGGAGTACATATACATAGTTCCAATTAAAGAGGACAGCGGAGTAGCACGAAAGCCAAGTCAAATGGCTGAATTTATGAATTTATGGAAATCCATCGTGCCCCTTCGGTTTGTTTGATTTTTCGTTATCGTGCAGCGGACTCCGCTTTTTGAGTTTAATGCGAATCCGAGTGGCGTCACGTCCAGTGGGAATCCACTGGAATCAGCGGCATTGCAGCTGCTCATCCCCCTCCTTTCGCTCCAGAGCCTCTCCTTCTGACACTCCACCCCCTCCCCTGCTTAATTGTCACTGCAACGCTTGAGGGCAACAATAAAGAGCTTTGTGTGCAACTTGATTTGTGCACTACAGTGAATATCAGCTAAGATTTCTTGTTTTTATTTTGTAAACATTTTTATAAAACAATTAAGGGTTATATTTCGATTTATATAGTCTTTTTAATTTTATTTTAATTGTCTATTACGTGGTTCTATAAATGTAAAACAGAGGCTCTTTGAATTTCATTTTTCCATTTTTTTTAATATTTGCGAAGGCTTTCAGATTTAAATTATAATTTAATTAATTATATAAATTAAATTAATTATGTAAATCATGGAATATGAAATAAGAAACCTTAATAAATATAGCCCTATGAAACTTACTTAAATTTCGATTAACTAATTCATTGATAACTATGGAAAAAAGCGTTCATATCTCAACAACATTTTATAAAATGATATACAAATATGAGAAAGGTTATCATGAAAATTTTAATTGTGATTATTTAGTAACTCAACATTTAAGCTAGTCATAAGGCTACTAATATATCAATATAGATTCATCATCAATCAAATGCATGCTGTGTACTAAAAACCCAATTTATTAGAATATATTTCTGAATATCGCACACCTCACTTAACCAATATATACTGTACGCACTCCACATGCCGCCAGAGCAGCCACATGCGAACGAAACCCAGTTGCGGAACCATCCTAACCCACTCTTCTCCTCATCCTCCACAGATCCATCATCAGCGAGTGTCTGGCCTCGTTCATGTACGTGTTCATCGTCTGCGGAGCTGCCGCGGGAGTCGGAGTGGGTGCCAGTGTGTCGTCCGTGCTCCTGGCCACGGCTCTGGCCTCCGGACTGGCGATGGCCACGCTGACGCAGTGCTTCCTCCACATCTCGGGTAAGGCAAAGGAGGCACAATAAACAACAACATATACAGATAGATAGGGAAACATCAACAGAACAGGGCGACAAGTGTTTCTTCTTTTTTTCTTTTTGGGGGGAGCGTAGCCCTTGGACTTGCGTGGGAAACTGCCGTTTTCAAGAACCAGAACACGAACCCCACTCTTTGTTTGCTGTATATTTTCGAGAAGGCAATGCACTCGGTTCGGCTCCACCTACTCCGTACTTCTTATCGCCCCCAAGCTCCCAGTTTCCCCCACTTATTCTCCCAGTTTTTCCCTTGCATTTATTCTGGTATTTATGTATTTGTTCATTTGCGTTGACATTCAAGGCAATTAAATGTCTGCACAAAAAAAAGAAAAAAAGAAAAGGACCGAAATTAGGGGGGAAGACACCTCGTCCTTCCAGACCAACATGTGTTGTTGATTTGCCCGCAACTCCCCCATTTTGTGGTTAGCAATTCCCCCGTTTTTTTCACAGCCAATTGGTTGAGCATTAAGTTATGATGTTATCTTCGGTTCCACAGGCAATGCCTTCCGAAGAAGTGTCAAAGTGATATTTAACGGTTCTCCCCATTTGGGTGGCCGCAATGGATTGAATACTTCAGATACTGTAAAGCTATTTTCCCCCATTTCTTCCCCCAGGCGCCCACATCAATCCCGCCGTCACCCTGGCCCTCTGTGTGGTTAGATCTATATCTCCGATCAGGGCGGCCATGTATATAACCGCCCAATGTGGCGGAGGAATCGCCGGAGCCGCACTCCTCTATGGGTAAGTTAAAACTCAAATAAATATTTTAGCTACATTTTTAAAGCCGAAAAACTAAACTGAATATGTCCCTGTCATTTAAAATCATCGAGGTATAAATATTGAACTAGAAAAATAAATCAAAAAATATTTCCGACAGTTAAAGCTCAAATAATAAAATATTTTAACTACATTTTTAATCCCCAAAAAAGAAACTGAATATTTCCCTGTCATTTAAAATCATTGAGGTATAAAAACGGATTAAGACAAATAATATTTCCAAACGAATGCAGATTAAACAGACTTCCATTTCAAAAGCCCTGCTTAAATTATGTAACATTTGATAGACGAAATAATCTATTATGCACATCAAAACGATTTAGTAGACGACAAAACATCAAAGTCAATTAAACAGGAATTCATTTTAAATTTTCTGCACTTAAATCGGTATGTGTTTTTCCTACGCCTGACCACAGCAATTACTGCATTATGCGAAGGACACTCTGCATCCTGCATCTGCGTGTGGATTTGCCCAAAAAGCAGGCTGAGGAGTCTCAAATTAAATCCAACAGGCTGCTCAAAGTGCCTCGGCCAGGTCGTAAATCAAGGCGGAAGGAGCTGAAAGACAGGGACAGGGTGGCAGGACAGCAGGACCACAGGATAAGTCGGATAGAGACAGATGAAACGCACTGCCAAGCGATGACTGTACAACAAGGACTCTCGACAGGAAGCGTGAAATGCGTAGAAATGCGTAGGGAAAATCTATGAAAGGAATGTGCAGGTAACCTAGGCCATCAACGCACAGATACACAGAAAAACACAATCACCTGCTGGAAAAAAAAAGGACGCAGGTAGCTAGGATTCTATCCGAAGGATAAACATCTGCCCCTATACTACGATGTTTGCGCAGTGATTTCCCGCTTCGAAAGCGAAAGATTTCTTTGTCATGCCTAGATAAAGGACCGAAGGATCTATGTATCTGTCAGGGTTTTTCCTTTTGAAGCATCCTGAAATCGCAAGACGAGGGGAAATACGAGTATCTCTGCGCCTGCGCACCATTTTTCAAATGTCGCTCCAGTTTTTTGTTGAGCATTGAACTCCTTTTAGGAGCAAGAGCAAGAGTAATGTCTGCTCGACATCTGTTTCGACCCTCCGAGAAGCCTCTTTTTAAGTGCGTTGGCATCGTTACTTTCTACACAGAGATCCCAGAGATCCGTGCGGGAGAATCGGCATAGTCGGCAGTTGGAGAAAGGGGACGAAGAAACATGTTTCAGCTGCTGCCACTGCGATCAGGTTCGGGTTTTTCGTTTTTTTGTTTTTTTTCTACTCCCCTGATATGGATTTCTTAGGGTCGAGTCCAATGAGTTCACGTTGTCTTTTAGTCGGAACATATGTTTCCCTAAGAGAAGACTAAAAAAAAGCAAGTCTTCAGCTGCCTGTGTGCTGATTAATTGGTTTAGATTCGACTTATATAGGTTATATAGCCTGGGCCGGGAGATTTCGGAGAAATCGTTGTGATTTTATGAGGGGCGTTAAACTTAATTTTGTCTGTGATTTTGTTGAGCTTCGGGATATCAAATAAAATTAATAGGACCTGCCAGATTTCATTAAATAGTAAATATATAATAAACAGTTAATGATTTATACACACAAAAAAGAATGTTACCGTAAAATCGATATGGCCATGTAAATTTCAGGTCAGGCAGAAACCCATATCTTTTTGACATGAAATACTCTTTTCGACCATATGAAATTTACCTGGCCGCATGTCAAAATAAAATTGATCTTAGATAATGTCAAATCGATCTACGTTTAATATCAATTTTTGTACCAGGATTATCATAATAAGATATTTTTCCAAGGTTATGTTTTTAGGATTTGTGCGAGGCAAACGATGTGTGTGATAAACAGCATTTTAAAAATCTTCTGCCTTTGCCAGGGGCAATTTAAATCCTCCCACTCCCCAAGGACCTGCCACTTCAGCTGCTCTTCCTGGCTTTTCCGTTGTCACATGTCACTTGGCACTTACCCTAATTGCGACGCATATGCCACATGTGGCCAAGTAGCAGCAAATACAAATGCCACCGAGCCGAGCAGATAAAACCCAGTCCGAAGAACTTCATTATCTTTCATAAAGAACGGCGAACGCTTGAAAAAACATTGCGGTACTTGGGAGGGGAGGGGGTAAAACGCGGGGCTTAAACTCAAGTATCGATATCCGGCTCAAAAATATTTGAATAGTCTTTAGCTGCTCCTCGCATTTCAATGATTTCTTCCCGTTCTTAAATTTGTTGTTTCCTTTTTTTTTTTTGGTTCGAAGAACGCACGCCGAGCACGTTCCAAAAATGCGAGTAGCCTTTGAAAATGTCGAAAGATAAAAATCAGGTAGAGGCCGCCAAAGACCGAGGACTGCAGAGAAAAGCAAAGAAACCAGAAAGCAGAAAAACATAATTAACATTTCCCTCGGACTCTGGATGGGTTTCTGGTTTTTTCTGTTTCGAGGCTCTGCGTCTGCGCAGGATGCGTGGTGCGGAAAGGGAACTTGAAATCAAACACGTGTCGCCGGAGTAGCCGCTCCTTCGATCTGGTTGGTCACTCGAAGAGCAGCTGGAAAAAATGCACAGCGCACACCTGCCGCTGCCCAAAACAACAGAAATTACTGTTGCCGAGGATCCACGAAGCAAACAGAAAACAGGATTTTCAACCGGTCAAATTTAAATTTTAAACAGCCAACTGAAACGAAACAAACTGAACTGGAGAGCAAAAGAGATATCAAGGCATACACTTAGGGAAATAGTGTGTCAATGAGAAGATGGTATACTATTTTGGGATCCAATGATAGTCAGTTGTGATAACTGATAAATAAACATAGAATTATATGGGAAATCAATTTGCTATAAGGCCAAAAGTGGATTAGGATTAAAAAAGAATATAATCAAATGATATAAAATTTAAAAAACTAATTATTTTTAAGCTTTCATAAAATCAATTTCACTAAAATTATTAAAAATTTAACAAAAGTAATTCTAATTTATTCACATATCTCATTAGTATATCAATGAATCATGAATCATAATTCCCATAGTAAATGAATTCACTACTCTTAATATAAGTTCTTAGACCTGTTGATTTTACCTAAAAAAGTATATTACTATATCATTTATTCTCCTTGTGTCCCCAGTTGATTTGGATCTAGCATGGAAATGCACTTCCGGCCGAACGAAGAGGGATGGTTTTTAGAAATCGAAATCGTAATCAATTCGTGTCACATGGGCAATTCAATTACTGAATCCGAATCCGTTCGGCAGTGCATTCCGTTCCCCCATTATTATTTGCTACTCTTCGCCTGGCTTATCGCACTTGGCTTGGAAATAGCATCCTGCCAGTGTTTCCGGTCGCCTTCACTTGGCCCCTGCATCCTTTATCCCCATCCCCATTTCCATTCCCATTAAAATCCTGCACAGGTGGTCCAGTTATACAGTTATGTCGCCGGCATTCAAACAACACCTGGGAAATGGGGGCAAAAAAGAGTTGAAAAAAACTGCAATCTAAACAGAACTTTTGTATTTGTTGAACTTCTATATACTTTTCAAATTGGGATCAATATTTATTGTGAAAGTTGTAGAGTTTATTTTAGTGAAAGTGTGGAAACTAAAATATGATAGATATTTTCCTATAAAATCAATGTTAAATCTGCGAAATGTCATGACAACTCGTAAGTTGAAGAGCGATACAGCAATGCATTTAGTGATTTTGTGGCATAATTTAATTTGGGGGTCTCATTGGGAGTCCTGAATCCTGAATTCCCATTCCCAGGGAGTCAGAAAGGCAACCACAAGCCAGACAAGACCGAAAGGCAAACCAAACCAAACCGAGAGCGTTGCAAATGGCACATGGCAATCCGCAGTTCGCAATTCTCCATTCTCCTTTCACCCGGAAACGCGGTGGCCACCATGGCATGAAAATGGGCTGGGAGTCGCCTCCACTTGGGGATAAGGACGAGGATGAGGATGTGGATAAGGATAACGATTCCTGTTCGCAGCTCCAAGTTTGCAGTTGCGGCAAACTGTTTCTTTTGGCATTTTTTATTCCGCAAAAACAATTTGCACAGGAAGAACTGCTGAAAGGCTACCATTTCCGGCTACTTAGTTGCTTCCCCTCCAAACTGAGTGTTTGGTTATCCGTGTGGATGAGTGGTTTTCGGTTTTTTGGTCCTGTGAAATTAGCACTTTATAGATTTATGAGCAAACAAGGGCCACTTTCGAGTACGCCCCAAGGGGGAGAATGTTTTTCCAAAGCGATCAAACTTTAATCAACGTTCAGTAGCAGCTGTGGAGCTCATTGTGCCGGGGATTAGTGCCTCCTAATGCCCACTAAGCCCCACTTCTCACCTCAGTTCTCAATCCAGACCAACGGCAGCCGGATCTCGGAGCAATTTCCCATTGCCAGGCGTTCTATTTGCTCAAGTACTTTTAAGTGCATTCCAAAAGCATTTATTTCCGGCTTTTCAAAGTGGGCGTTTAGGTGTGGTGGTTGAACTGAACCACAGGTAAAGGCAAAGTATAGCTAGGAAAATATTTACCCAGCTCGGCAAAATGCAAGGCAAAATGTTATCTTGCCTGTGACAACAATCAAATTCCTGAATTTCCTAATATATGCGGCTTTCGACGAACTTTGCTTTCGAATCAGGAAACAAATTATTCGGCAGTTGAGTTTGCCCATAAATCGCAAAGCTTCAAACTCATTTGGCAACTCTGGTAATTGAAACTCTGATAATCCAAATGATGTTGAGGCAGTTCAAGCGAGAGAGCAGATTAAAGGGGTTGTCAGGGTAGTGAAATATAAGTAAAATAAATGTATATTGAGATTTGAGTCCCAATCAAATGGAAATAAAAATCGAAATTAAATATTATTTATTATTACAATCCTAAAAAAGTTCTGTAATTATCTCACCATCTTGTATATGGTTCCTAACCTTAAACCCTAACCCTAAAATAAATGGATATTGAAGTTTGAACCCCAATCAATTAAATATAAAAATCAAAATTAAATATTATTTATTCTTACCATCCTAAAAAAAGTTCTGTAATTATCTTAAATTAAAATATATGGTTCCTGACCCTTAGCAAAGTTTATTGTCACCATTAAATTTACCCATTTCTCTGCTTATTTTATTTTACAGCGTAACTGTGCCAGGATACCAGGGAAATCTGCAGGCCGCCATCTCACAGAGCGCTGCTTTGGCTGCCTGGGAAAGGTTCGGCGTGGAATTCATCCTCACCTTTCTGGTGGTTCTGTGCTATTTCGTATCCACGGATCCCATGAAGAGGTTCATGGGCAACTCGGCCGCCTCGATTGGCTGTGCCTACAGCGCCTGCTGCTTTGTGTCGGTAAGTTGAGTTGACTTCACTCCGCTCGAGTTGAATTCCAAGGCCCGGCATTCTTGGGCAGAAATCAGAAATACGAAAATCAGAAAACCAGAACCCGCCAAAAACGAAACTGAAACCGAAAACAAACAACTGAAACCGAAATAACGCACCTGCCGACTTTGACTCTGTCATTTTGATGGTGCAAAATCGCAGCATGACAACAGCGGACGAGATAAACTGGGTTCAGGTAGAGAGACTTTAATCGTGGGATGGTGGATGGTAGAGGTTTTAGCGGGGATGGAGGAGATAATTAATTTAGCACAGGGACTCCCAGGACTTGAGCTGCATTGTTGGCATAACGGAGGGTTTTGTGGCGGGCATTCAAAGGAGATGCGATGACTTGGCTAAGCTCTTGAGGGGAAACCGATTAAAGTCAAGTTTATATCGACTGCGGATTGAGTTACGCCGCGGCGATTTGCACATCTTAAGGTCATTAAGGGGTTTGAGGCATTTTTCCAGGAATTTACTAGTCAACTACTACAAATTATATCTGATTAATAGGGATATTCATATTAATATTACATATATTATATTATTATTATATTATTAATATTATTAAAAATAAAGCATGTCGCCGTAAAATCGTTATGTGCATGTAAATTTCTGGTTATGCAAAACCCATATCGTTTTTACATGAAATAGTCATTTCAACCATATCAAATGTACCTGGCCCATATAAAGTTCAAATTGATATTACATAATGTAAAATAGATCTACGTTTCATGTCGATTTTTTTTGGGTGAACAAACAACCTTTAAACATAAAATAGACACTCTTTAAAGCTGTTTAAACAATTGATATTACATAATGTAAAATCGATCTACGTTTTATATAGATTTTTTTGTGTGTACAAATAACCTTTTAACATAAAATACACACTCTTTAAAACTGTTTAAACAATTTATCAACTAGCCTCTGCCATAAAATGCCTTTTGCATTGTTTGTCAACTTTTTCCCCAAGTATCCTTTGTCAGAAAATCATAGAAAAAGACTACTTTAACAGGCTAAAGCTGCTAAAACGACATAAACTTTGACTTTGACTTATGCAGCCCCTGAGATGCCCTCCCAGTTTCCATTTTCCTACACAGACAACTAACCAATCCTTATTCCTTACTCCTTTACAGATGCCCTACCTGAATCCTGCCCGCTCCCTGGGTCCCTCGTTTGTGCTGAACAAATGGGACAACCACTGGGTCTACTGGTTCGGTCCCCTGGTGGGCGGCATGGCCTCTGGCCTCGTCTACGAGTACATCTTCAACTCTCGTCGCAGTTTGCGCCACGCCAAGGGCAGCATTGACAACGACTCCAGCTCGATTCACTCGGAGGACGAGCTGAACTACGACATGGACATGGAGAAGCCCGGCAAGTATCAGCAGTCGCAGGGCACCTATCCGCGTGGAGGTCAGTCGAATGGCAATGGGAACTCGGGTCAGCAGGCCTCAGTGGGAAATGGTCAACATCAGGCCGGAAATATGGGCCAGATGACTGGAGTGGTGGCCAATGGACAGGGCAACTACTGCCAGAATTTGTACACTGCTCCGCCGCTCTCTTCGAAATACGAACAGCAGCAGGAGCCACTGTACGGTGGAACCCGCTCTTTGTACTGCCGCTCACCCACTTTGACCAGGAGCAACCTGAATCGCTCGCAATCCGTTTATGCCAAGAGCAACACGGCCATCAACAGGGACATAGTGCCGCGTCCAGGTCCTCTGGTGCCCGCCCAGAGTCTCTATCCCATGCGCACCCAGCAGCAGCAACAGCAACAGCAGCAGCAGCAACAGCAGCAACAGCAACAGGTGGCTCCTGCTCCGCAATCCTCCCACCTGCAGAACCAGAATGTCCAGAATCAGATGCAGCAGCGCAGCGAGAGTATCTACGGAATGAGGGGTTCGATGCGGGGACAGCAACAGCCGATACAGCAACAGCAACTGCAACAGCAGCAGCAGCAGCAACAGCCGAATATGCAGCCGCAACAGTTGCAGCCTCCGCCGCAAATGATGGTTGATCCCAACCAGCAGCAGCAGCAACCGCAGGGCTTCCAGCCGGTCTACGGCACTCGGACGAATCCCACGCCCATGGACGGCAGTCACAAGTACGATAGGCGCGATCCTCAACAGCTTTACGGCGTCACGGGTCCCAGGAATCGCGGACAGTCGGCTCAATCGGACGACAGCTCGTATGGCTCCTATCACGGCTCCGCCGTCACTCCTCCCGCTCGTCATCCCAGCGTGGAGCCATCGCCTCCGCCGCCACCGATGCTCATGTATGCCCCACCCCCGCAGCCAAATGCAGCCCATCCGCAACCCATTCGCACCCAGTCGGAGCGAAAGGTGAGTGCTCCAGTGGTGGTTTCCCAGCCGGCAGCCTGTGCCGTGACCTACACAACCTCTCAAGGACCCGCGGTGGCCACCCAACAGCAGCAACAGCAGCAGCAGCAACAGCAACAGCAACAGATGATGATGCAACAGCAGCAGCAACATTACGGAATGCTGCCGCTGAGGCCCAACTGAAAGCGGCTGTCTTGGGGTCCGGTGACCACGCCCCCGCCAGGGATCAGCGCCCTCGCCCTCCAGCCCGGAGGCACCATGACCCTGCACCGCTGCAGCCTAGCCAAGCAGAGCAGTTTGTTTTAGTCGTAATACTCGGGCATCGCATCCAAAGGAAATGTACGCAAGTCTCAGCCCCTAGAGTAGCATAGTCCTAGTTTAGATAGACACTGTATTATTCGGAGCCAACGCGACGAGGAACTCACACCTAGCAGACAACGATGATTAAGTCTTAAGGAACTATTAAGGGCGATTGCTTACTAGACTAAACGGATATAGGTGATCTAGACTGAAAGATGGCAGCAATTAAGCTGTTTACTTCTTTAAAATACTTCCTATTATTTTTTCCACATCTTCCGACTGCAAACATTTATGTTTTTTAGAACTCTTATATGAGAATTCCTAATTTAACAAGTTATCTTTGCTTTTTCTAAACCAAAAACTAGACTGAAAGAAATATTTCTGCATTTACTTAGTACATTTATTACATTATATTTCCAGACCATTTGTTTCAAAGTTCATTTTCAAAGATTTTTGTTTACTTTTAGCTTTTAATTTGTATATAGTCCACATAGACGTATTACTAGGCATATTTAAGCTATTCCTGTAAATGTTAGGACCTTAAGCTCAGAAGTCGATACCAACATATATGCATATGTATTAAATTAGTTATATTTACTTAGTGATAAACACGCTTGGTAATGCATAGTTGTAAGATTAAAGTAATACTGCAAATATATGGTGTATCAAAATAAAGACATGTTCATTCAACGATAAGAGTTATTATTAAAGAACGTTTCATATATTAGATTAACCAAAAATTTGAGATATTCATGCTTCATGGATATTATCTGAATTGGTTCAATCGTAATTAATATTCAGGGCTTTCAGGTATCGTTTAAATCACCATGCTTAAAGTATATTTCGGTTTGGCATTATTGGAACTTTGGATGCTGGGGATCTTACTTATTATCTTCCTTAACAATATCTAACATCCAAGGAGTTTTATAATGGTATGTTTTGTAACAACAAATAACATATAAGGCATTCTACGTTTAACGAATCCAGTTAAAGTACATATCTGATTGACCATTCGAAAAGCTTTTATATGATCCAAATCAGTATTCCACGAAGGAATACTCAATGTATGATTTGTTGGCCCCCGGAATCCTTGACCTTCGCGTACATAAAGTAAAAATACAGCCGGAGTTCGGCCAAAGGAAAGTGGGGTAACTGCTCCCGGACCTTGGCGAAGTCGGCGCCGAAGCGATCGAAGGCCTTGGAGAGTCGGACGAGATCCTGGGCCTTCCAGCGATGATAGCGACATCCGCGAGCGGTCTCAAATCTCTGCAGACGTCGACGGGCCAGGGGCAGATCGAATCCGTGACGTCGCAGGAGGAACAGCGCCTGCTCCTCCTCGATGTTGTAGCGACTGGCAGCGAGGTCCAGGTATTCGCGCACATCCTTTTCGTCGCTCTCCAGCAGTTGCGGCGACCACAGGATCGAGGCGCGATGTTGCAGCTGCTTCAGATCCTGATCCTGCTGCTCCGGAGTCAGGTAATCGGGCAAACTGGCTGCCTGTTTGCTCCAGTAGCGCGAATCTCGCTTCTCCTTTTGCAGGGACATCCTTCAATCGAAAACAAAACAAAACAAAGAAAGACAAGTAAACTGGATCAAGGTAACAACGAGGGCAAGACGCTCCAGTATTGTAATCCTTCGTTTCAGTGTTGACTAACGCAGCAAATGCACTGAGCAAAGTCAATTAAAGTAATGAAAATTTAATGCTCTTGGGTATCTCTTAAGTTATTTGGTAACATATAGACCTTATCCACTTATCTTAATAAAAATGCAACAGAATAGTAAATAAATTATACGATATCGTAGCAACTTTCACTTTTTACACGATAATTTTCCAACCCAGCCCTGGAATATCCACTAGATATAACTTGCCCAAAGTTCAATATTTTTATAGTCCTACGAAAAACAAAGTTTAAATTTTGTAGAGTAATTATATTTTTAATATTAAGAAAATCATGATTCATCTAAATACTAGTTTTTATAGCCAATAGTTTAAGGGATAATGAAAATATGTGTGACAACCCTAAAAGTCTTCATATAAAGTAGAGTCCAGGTCGCAATATTCCACTCCCGGCTCTCTGAAGACCTCAGGAGCAGAATAGAATTCATCTTCCTCGGAATCGGAGTAGTTATTTCTATTCTCGTAAGTCAAATACCCATCCCAAAGGGCTAGACCCATTGATAGTGGAGGTCCCTGAGCACGTTCAGTATCGTAGATCAGCCAGTGGGAATTTTGTTGGTCATATAGCGAATTAAGAAGACTTGGCCAAAAGCCTAGTAAGCCAATTTTGGCCAACTTGACATGTAGGTTGTAGCCATGTTGCTTCTCCGTCTCGATCCTCACCTCGCCCAGTAGATTCAGAATGCATCGTTGAGAAGGCGTAGTTGTCGTCACATTGTAAATCAAGGTATTACCTTTTAGAATAAGTTTATACTCTGTCACCTGCTGTTCAATGATTAGCTCTATATGGGTTTGGGTCTGGTGCCATCTAATCCTTGGACGCACTACTTCTCCAGATTTTGAGGCGCAGTTCAAGGACTGCAATACTAGTTCTTTCGAAAGCTCTTGGAGGCCAACTTTAAGTGATTTGTCCAGTCTTGACTTTATTAAACCGGAGTTTCTGTGGAGGATTTCCTGGTTATCTTCTGATTGCACAAGGTTGTGTATAAATTTTTGAGTATCCTGCTTTTTTGAAGAACAAGTACTGTTTAACTCGTTAATGAGGGTGTTTAATAATGCTGTGGAACTATCGATTGGTGGTTCGATTGGGATTAGTTTTTCCGCTACTGATTTTCCGCCATCGTTTAGAATTTTATCCTTACAAGTATTTTTCTTCGTTACTTCATAAATTTTATCTTCTATTTGATCTGAGGGCAGTTCCTTTTTATCCCCAGCTTTTTCAGTTTCTTGAATTCTATTAAGTGATCCCATCATCAAATCGCCTTTCTCCACCATTTCTGTGCATTCCCTTCTTGGAAAATTAAGATCAATTGTATGATCCTCCAAGTCGGTATTCCTCTTTCCAAAACTAATGTTTTCCTTATTGGATTCCAGCTCTTCTATTTTTTGCTTCTGCTGCTCGAGCAGGACTCTCACTTCTTGATTGCTTGTGCTGTCCATTTTGGCAAATCCTCGACGAAGCAGTTCCTTACGCAAAAAGATTTTGTATACACTCGTTAGCATGGTTGGACACTCTTCAATTAAAGAAACTTCCCTGACGTAGACCACATGTAGAATAGAGAAATCAACGGATATCTGCATCACCTGTCCGTCGACGGCACCAAAGCTTTCCTGGACCCATTGATTGGCATCTGCTGACCACTTTCCTCCTTCTCCAGCTGGAACCAATCCAGACAAACGAATATCCATGGCCAGAGGTGGTAAAGATCTAAACTTCTCCGGACATTGCCGCAAATCACTTGGCTTAACCTGCACTAATTCACTGCCATGATCCATAAATTGCACAGTGAGTTTATGTTCGGATGAAATGTCCACAATCCTCACTCTCCTCCAGGTTTCCTCATACAGCACAAAGCAGACATCGTTTAGATTATATGGGTAATGTACCTTCTGCGGCACTCCCATGCTAATTTTAAGCAATAATGTGGAGGGATTGGAAGGATAGGGCACTTCCATCCAGCTGCATGAGTCTTTTGATTTATACTTCAAAGGCCAAACGGCCATGTGAACTGGGTCATAGGCTTTGTACAACTTGCAGCGAATTAATGTCCCTGTTTGCTGAAGTGGATTTCCAGGCTGCGAAAGATCAGATTTAACGTAGTGATGTCGCTTATTACACAGCCTCCGATTGCAATCACCACTGCTCAGTTGATATGGACAGTAGGGAATATCATCATCCATTTTCTGCTGGCTGAGGGACATAAATTGGGAATTCAATTCGTTGGTGGCGATGCCATGATCCTGAAGGAATTTCATGGTGCGGGGCCACTCCCTGGAGTTCCTCTCGTCCAACATCAAATAGGTGATCAAGGATGGTCGTTCGATTCCCGGAGGTGTGGTAAATAAATTACATATGTTGCCTGCCATGGTATGGAATCGACTGGAAAATCTAAGCCAGGATTCCGGAAGACTGAAGTGGATAAGCAGCTCGATGTTCCTTAGATGCAGCTGTTTCGGAATCGGATTATCACTGACCAGCATCAGCTCGTGAGGTTCCTAAAATGGTATTTTCGAATTAATATTTAAGCAACTAATAATTACATTATTCTTTAGAAGAACTCACCTGATTATGAGCTCGTGAAATGCCCACACATTGATGTCCTGCTTCGGTTAAAATCATTTTCAAATTCTCCAGCTCCATCTGACTTTTGCAGTATATCAGTGTGCGCTTCCTTGGAACTTCCTGTGCCGCCAGGATATCAAGAAGCTGTCTGTTCTTCAGCGTGGAGATTCGAAGAATGATTTTCATTTTAAGACCTCCGTACAGAGCTGCCTCGAAAAAATCTCCGAAAAGGACAAGTGGTTTTATCGTACGCCTTAAGAGTTTCTTGAAACTATCCGCATGCCATTGCTGAGCTACAAGGACTAACTGCATCGTCAAACAACCCAAGGCATAGACTTTCTGTAGTACTTCGTCCAGCAGCTGTAGATTTCCCAAGCGCATGCGATCAAAGTCATCGAAGATTAAGAATTTCAGTCTAGTCGCATCCACTAGGGCTAATCCATTGACCAAAATGTCAAGCAAATGCGCCAATGTTGTGACCAAAACACCGCAAGAGTTGAGCAGCATCATATAAACAACCGTTGTGGAATGGTCATGTGTATTGACCACCTTCGGGAACTCGGTGTTGTAGTCCCTCATCAGAAAGTCGCAATGGGAAGTCAAATTCATGGCATTCTCTACCGAATCCACCACTAACAAAGCCAGAGGACCTGGAGCCATCCGATCCTCAAGAGTGGTGGCAGTATTTTGCAAGGAACGCATTACAGAGGAGCAAACTACGGGAAGATAACTCCAAGAGCGTCCCGTTCCAGAGCCATTTACTAGCACTAGGGATCCACCCTGCTCGAGATGCGGCCAGGAATACATTTGCGTGGGAAGTGGCGAGTGAAAGTTCAGGTCTTTCATGCTCATCTGGATTTCCTTGCACAAATGTAACTCCCTATAACTGCTCACAGGATTCACAGGTTCGGGGCTATGTGCCAGCACCGAATGGGTTGGAGATTCCTTCAACTTATTAATTGGGATATTTTCAGAGGACTCAGCTTTCTTTCCAAAATCCCTTGTTGATGCTGAACTACTTGAATTCGATTTGTAATTTCCACTTCGCGACATCAAGCTGCCAACGGATGCCTTTCCAAGCATGTCATTAAATATCTGATCCAATTTATCCATGGAAAAGGTTACTGATCGAGTATTCAATTGGTCGGTTGCATTTTCATTTGAAGAAACGAGGGAAAAAGCTTTTGATGGTTTAGATATTACAGGCTTATCTGTGCAGATGGTGGTGTTTAGTGAAGATAATGGATGAAGATGGTCAGTGATAGAAAGTGATTCCGAATCCTTTAAGACAAGTGATCCATGGTGTTGTTGCTCAGATATTTGCTTATTGGATAGCTTTAGTTCTGAGAAACAATATGAAACATTCTCTGATCCTATGAATGAGGTTTCCGGTTCATTATTTATATCTAATAGTTTCAATTTATCATGTATTTTTGACCCAATAACGAGGGCTGTTTGCACGGAATTGTCGCTGATACTATGAATCTTGCTTAGGACTTTTCCGGTTTCTGGTATAATGTAGGGGTTACGATTCTGGAGTAATGCATCCAACTTTTGGTGCTGAATAGCCGGATGAGTTAAGGGCGATCTTTTAGCAACGGTCCTTAACATTCCGTTTAATGGCTCCATATTTTTCGAGGATATATGTTTGGCCTCCAAGGAACTAACAGCGAGAGATTTTCCTTCCTGCTGTGGTTCCATTTTTCCTATATTTGAATCGATAAATATTTCCGTTATAAGTAATTTAATAAGAAATTTGGTACATAACGATAATTTTATATTAATAGCATACGTATTTCTTTCCAAATCTAAAATATCTACGAAAAATTGTCCCAAAACGTAATATAATTTGTTAGCTAAGAAAATAGTCTATATCGTCTTAGTAGATGAGATTATTCTTTAGACTATCGGGCCATATTTTAATCCTATATTATTATATATTATACCCTATAATATAGCATTTACATATAAATGGTTCTTCTATCTTTAAATCGCCCGTTTAAATAAACTTGAGCTTAAAGTCGCGTTACGTTTTCCCTGTGCACTCATGTGAAAATGGCTGCGATTTCCACGCGTCAGAAACTTTGCCCAAAGCGAGCCAAAAATTGTGAAACCAGCCACAGGATTAAATTTGTGGATTCGGATTGTGATTTAGTAGGGAGTAAATTAGCTAATTTAAGTTGGGAAAGCGAAAAGCGAAAGCAAATGCGGCAACTGCAGCTTTCAAATGGCAAAACAAAGCAACTGGCTAAGCCGCAAGTAAGGAGGTCCTTGTGCCTATTTGCTGTTTGTTTGCGCTGCACTAGATCCTGCTGCAGTGCCTCCTCCCCCTCCCCCCTCCACATCCACATCCTTTGGGTGGACAAGTGGCAAGTGGTGCTCCACAATCGGCAGTGGCGCGTGCTCCAAGCTGTTGTTTTATCAACACTTTAAATGCCCGAGATGTTCTCTAAGCCGACTTATTTATACAAATGCAAGGCACTCGCTATACATTATTTCAGTTAATTTAACATGTGCTCGAGTAAATAGGGGATTATTCGACGATAGGAATCTCAAACAACCCTAAATTTGGGTGCAAAAAAATTGGCGATTATCATAAAAAATCCCAGAATAATGCAGGGTATTGAATATGTAAATAGGATCATCAAGAATCGATCGAATAAACCTTTTCTAAAGCAGCTGATAAAGTGGTTTAGTAAATAATATAGAAAAATTGTGTATACTCACTTGAGCCAGGATTGGAAATAATACCGTTTTTACAAAACTTTAGTTGAAGTCTGAAAAAATAATTAAAAATCTTATTGAATTTGTTAAGATTACTGTTTTAAATAAGAAGTAAATGTAGCACATTACAGAAAATAAACATAATATAAAAAGTTCAAAAGGTAAGAACACTACATATTTCTGTTTTGATTAACTTACCTTTACAAGAGGGATAGTTTGAAATAAGTTATTTTGTTAAAGGCATCGTCAGTCCAAGTTAGAAGTGAGAAATCGACTGACTTCCAATAGGCAAAACACTTCCAATTCTCAAACAGCCTCTCACAAAGATATACAAACTCACTTGTAAACAAAGAAGGGCCCTTTTTAAAGTGTCAGCGCAATTGGATTGGCGTAAACAAACTCGATGAAGAACTGGAAATTTGAGACTCCTCTGGCTAGAAATAAAAGTAGAATAATAAATTGATGTACAATGTGCTTCGTACATTTATTTCTTCACTTACTTGACTGCAAACTATTAGACAGTAAATAATTCTTTTAAATTAAAGAATTCAACCTCAATTTGTATTTACATTAGCTGTAAGAAAAAGAAAAGAAGCGCGAAAAAGAGAAATTTTCTTGGAAATGTATCGAAGTAGAAAACTTTAAAGAAGATCGATATCATCCCTGATTAATTGACCAGTAAGAATTTAAATTTTAAGTCATTCTAATCAAAAACGGTCTCAACCATTCAAATTGCAACCTGTATACTCGAAAAGTTCTTAATAATCAACTATTTTTATTCACATATAAATGCACCCATGTGCCAACAACGTAAATTAGCAAAACATATTTTCCCAAATAATTGATGGCAATCTGGTCCCGATAAATCCTTTTCACCCATCCCGCGCCTGCTAATTGCAAAACAAAATGCCAGCCATTATTCAACCCAAAAGTACGGTTTCTTTCCTAACGAAAATGCTACTTTTTACCCCTTTAACGGCCACAATTTTCCCTTTTTCCCCTTTTGTTTGCCAGGCACCAGGTCGCCCATAAAAGTTTGACCGAGTAGGGTTGTCGCATGTCCCCCCGCAACCCCTGCAGCATTTGCCTTTTATTCCTTTTTTATTTGATTGTTTCATATTTGTGAGGATTATATGGTTGAGTGTTGAGTATCAGGGAAGACAGGAGGTGGGGGTGGACGTGTGGTAATTTATTTTGCGGCTTAGAGCGGCACTTTATACTTGCGGTTAAGTGAAAGGACTGCCCGCCTTTTTGGTTTTTGAGCTCAAAAACACAAAGATAAATAGGTAGCACAATTTATATAAATACAAAGTAACCATAAAATAAAAACTAGAATAATTCAAAATAATTTGTTTAATTCTTTAAAGATTGATCCGTTTCAGATCAAGGATCAAAAATGAATTTCTAAAACATTTCTAGGAAAAACAAACTCTTTTCTTCCACGAGATACATTTTATTTTAGTAACAATTGTATTTTTATTAAAACCAATATTTAAAAAGTATAAAGATTTGAAGCAATAATGTTAAATTTGCCGAATTAAAAAAATGTACATTTAAAGGAACTAGTTCATTTTTCATATTATCTTGCTCTAGGTTTCTTTACAAAAAGAAATAAAATAGAAACCTAAATAAACTAATTTATATTTGTATTATAATTTTAAACTAATGATTAACCCTTATTGCAAATAAGAACTAGATTCGTATTGAAATTAAATTCTAGCCAGGTTGGCAGCCCGTTTGTGTGACGTGACAATGCCGCCGCTTCGCAACACTAGCCGATAGCCAGCCAAAATGGCGCCGCCAGCTATCGTATTCCCCGAGCAAATACTATCGGTTCGGCAGCGCATCACACACAAAGCGAAAAAAAGGAAAATACGGGTGGCCAGCTAGCAAAAATCTCCGAAATTCAACGAACCCAGACGCCGAGACTTGTGCTTATTGTACTTCCTCGAGTACATATACTAGTTCCTGTGCTCCGTCCGCCCAAGCCAGCAAAATAACCAAGTTCAACATACGCCTGGACAACATAATGTCGAAGAACAAAAAACTGTCGCTGTCGGGCGGCGATACGGCGGAGAAATTTATTTACAAACCCAAGGATCTGATATGGTAAGCACACTAGCCGCAGGACGAGGGATCCGCCGAGATCTCGGTGGCCTCCGGAGCTCCAAGGAGCCCCGAGAAAGAGTGGAAAACCAAAGCAAACACATAACCTCAATCGCGCACGGTTGGCGCTCCAAAAAAGAGCAGTGAAGTGTGCATAAAAAAGGCAATTAGCGCTGCTTTTCGACCGCAACGCAGGGCATTTGTCCATGGAGATTACCCGGAATTGGAGCATTTCTGGAGTTACATGTGTAAAGTCCGCGGGGCGACGTCGACGTCACTGCGTTGGCGCTTTTTTCGCGCGCGCGCCCTTTTTTCTTCTTTTTTTCCCACCGCGGCCAATATGATTTTTCCCCGTCCCCAAAAACAGAGTTTCCTAATAGCATTTTCTCCTCTATTCCAGGGCCAAAATGAAGGGCTTCACTCCGTGGCCGGGAATGGTAAGCAATAGCAATCGGCGATCGGAATGTTTACGCCGCGTCGACGTCGCGTCGCTGCCGCCTCCTCTGCCAGCCCATGTTGTTGTGTTTGTTTTCGACTGTACTTTTCGATTCAACGCTGCCGGCAGAGACGCCGCCGCGCTGCTCACAGCCACGCACTTGCACACTTTGCTTTTGCCCTGTTGTTGTTGCTGCCGGCGGCCTGGAAATTGTCTGTATTTTTTTTTTTTTGGTTTTTGGAGACCCCGCTATCGGGGGCCACGAACTATAGCTTTTCGATCGTGTACAGCCAGCATGTGTGGGCGGCGGAGGAGGGGGAGTGACGCGAACAGGCGTTGCCAAGGATATCTTCTGATCAAGTTATCACTCTCCATGGAAAAGTTCACTTTTTAAAGAGTTCTTATCTAAAATCTTTGTTAAAAGGCAGCTTCTTATCGAGATAAATCGTAGTTTAGGCATTTCCAGTGTTAATCGTGTGTGATATTATTTTTAAGGGTAGTGATCTTCAGATCGGTGATTATCTGATTTAATGAACATTTTGTTATATTTTAAAATTTTGCTTAGAAAATGTGTTTTGTTTTGGTGAATTATCTTAGGTTTTTAATCATTTTTGAAGCTAAAAACCAGTTTTTTGTATACATAATAATTAGCACTCTTTTTAATAATTTTGTGGCTAAAAATTTTATGAACTTATTAGGAAAGTTTTGTCAAAGCGGATATTACTAACGTTTGTAAAGGTTTCTCTTGAATTTAGGTTTGTATACCTCAAAACTAGCATGATTATTGTGAATCTTTTGATATTCCAATTGGTTATTGTTCTGTAAAATATTTTTTTTAGGAATGTACACAACATTTGGATCTAAATTTAAATATTTGAAGAATTGAAAAAAAATCGTATTCGGTTAAAAATTAGTTTTTTGATTTCTTAATTTAAGAAATAAAATAATATCTTGAAAATCGTATTATCCTTTTCAATACTATTTATCTTGAGATCCAAAACTTGGAATCCAAATTAGGATACATTATTTCAAATTTAAAAAATGAACTTTAAATTCGGTCAAAATCTGAAGCTTTAGTATAGTAGTTTCTAATTACCATTACTCCCCCTAGATTGTCGATCCACCTCTTGATCTGCTTAGCCAGCAGCGCAGGGCGAATACCAAATGCGTGTTCTTCTTTGGATCTAGAAACTTGTAAGTAAAAAACAGGATCACAACTGAAAATAAATAACATGTGTAACATTTAATAGTGCCTGGATTGAGGAGAACAACATCAAGCCCTTCGAGGGGCCCTGGAAGGATGAGCTGGCCAAGGTGAGCAAGCCTGCTGCTTTCCGGCACGCCATGACGGACATTGAAAAGTACATTGACGACCCCGCCGAGGTGGACGCACAGGTGAACAAATCGTGTGGGGAGCCCAACCATGCCACCGAGGCCGACTTCGACAAGATCCGCGATGGTCTGGACAGCGAGGAGAATGCGGGAGACGAGGCAGCTGCCGATGGCAACAATGGAGTGGTGGCCCATGTGGTGGGCAGCCCCGATGAGGGCGAGGGCCTGGATGGGGAGGTCAATGCGGATTCCTCGGCATCACCAGCGACGACGCCGGCGACCGCAACAAAGGCGGGGGGCAAGCGGACGCCGAAGGCCAAATCCGTGGCCGCCGCGTCGGTCAAGTCGGCCAAGGGATCGGCGACGAAATCAGCACAGAAGCGGCGGACCTCCGCCCAACAGACGCCCAGTGGGACATCGAATGCCAAGCGCGGTAGGAGGGCTGCTTCCGGGGAGGCAGCGCAGGATGCGGATGCTGCCAGCTCCACGCCCACGGCCAGACGTCGGGTCGAAACTGATGCACTTCTGGCCTCACTGGCTGCCAAGCGGGCCCCGAATGCAATTGCTCTGCTCGACCGTCCGGTGGTCACGCGACCAGAGACACAAGTCATCGACATGAGCTCGCGCTCCAACACGCTGGCCGATCGCGAGATTGTGCCCTCCGAGCAGACCTTCGGTTTCCTGGGTCTCGGCATGATGGGATCGACCATTGTCAAGGATTTGATATACACGGGCCACAAGGTGGTGGTTTGGAACCGCACCATTGACAAGGTGGGTGTCTTATTTAGTGAATTTAAACTTAAATCTCATGATATTCTTTTTTTTTTAGTGCCAACCCTTTGCGGAGGCCGGTGCCGAGGTCAAAGACACTCCCATGGATGTGGTGGAGGCAGCCGACGTTATCTTTTGCTGTGTGTCGGATCCCAAAGGCGCCAAGGATGTAAGTCTTAAATACATATATTTATTTTGGGGCATATAATTCAATAAGAACTAGAAATTTATTTTTTATGATATTTTTTATTCCAATTAAAAATTACCAGTAGTTAAGGTATTACTTTGATCTCAAATTATAAATACATATTTTTTAAAGCGCATTGAATTTAGAATAACTATTTATTAGAAAGTAAAAAAGAGGAGGATTATCAACAATTTTAAAAATCAGCCATACAAATAGTCCGATTGTTGAAACACAAATGAATTAATTATACATTTAAATATATTAATCTATGAAAATTTATTGCAATCCGTCAAAATAAAACGAATAAATTTCCCAAGCACATAACAAACCATTAAGTAAACTACACAATCAAATATCTTTATTCCTAGAATAAATTTAAATTCACTCAGCATTAAACATTTTTTTTTCACACGTTTTCCCTTTTTTTCTCTAAACGTGGATCAAAAAGGTTCTCTTTTCAAAGCGACTTTGTTTTGTGCTGTATAAATTTAAAATAAATTAGAATATAAATGAATTGGGAAATAATATATGGAATATCTGAAAGGCTAGAAAAAAAATATATGAAACTCTCATTCAACTCCCCTAATTAATATGCTCCCTTTATTCACGTGCAGCTCGTTTTTGGCAACTGTGGCGTTCTGCAGTTGAAGGACTTGAACAACAAGGCCTACGTGGAAATGTCTACCATTGATCCGGACACCTCGTTGGATATTGGTGAGGGAATCAAGCAGTGCAACGGTCGCTATCTGGAGGCACAAATTCACGGCTCGCGCCAGGAGGCGGCCGATGGCATGCTCATCATCCTCGCTGGCGGAGATCGTTCGGTGTTCGAGGAGTGCCACTCTTGCTTCAAGACCATCGCAAAGAACACGTTCTTCTTGGGGAGTAAGTACAGCCTAGTACAATGATGTTTGCAGCAGAGCAATTTATTAAATTTGTCCTTTGTTCACATCTAGCAGATATCGGGAATGCCTGTAAAGTAAACCTAATTTTGCAAACTATTTTGGGAGTGAGTCTGGTCGGATTAGCTGAGGCGTTAGCACTTGGTAAGTTTGCTAGTTGGATGATGTTTACAATTATATTATTTAATATTTTATATATTTTCCTTGCAGCTGATCGTTTTTCAATTTCTTTGAACGACATCATAGACATTTTCGATTTGACTTCGATGAAATCACCAATGCTGCTAGCTAAAGGCAAAGGTAAGGTTAAATTAAATGGAATTTCTAAGAGATATTTTAAGGACAAGTTATTGTACAATATTTTTTAAGCTTAAAAATTGTTAAACATTTTTTTAAAATGTTTTTGTATCTTGTTATCTTTCAGAAATGGCCAAGGGCGATTTCAATCCACAACAGCCTTTGAGCCACATGCAACGCGACTTGCGTTTGGTGCTCAACATGGCGGAGAACCTGGACCAGTCCATGCCCGTCACGAGCATCACCAACGAGGTGTTCAAGCACACCAAGCGCTTGGGCTACAGTGAACACGATTCGAGCGCCGTATTCGTAAGATCCAGATTTTAACAATTAGTTAACACGACTAACGTTTAAACTATATTTTATCATTTAGTTTAAAGCGTACACCGAACAGAACAGAACAGTACCAACACTGACAAAAAACACAAGAACACAACAGAAACGCATAACCCTCACTTACCCACTTACCCACCCACCAATCAACCCAAACTGACAGAGACGTTCGATGGCAAGGAATACTTGTTTGCAGCGTCATCCTTACCTTTCGTATCTTTCCCCATCTCCCCGCATACGAAGCGTTTAATTGCCGACCTCAATAATATGAGGTCTACCCGATCCCTTCCGGGATCACTTTAAGGAATGTGCATTATACGTCTTTAGAGTGTTTTATTGTATTCTTTCACGGGTGAAACGCAATCCCAGAGAGGAGGGAGAAAAGGGCAGGGCGCCGTGTTTCCGATTTGATGTATGTAAGGTGTTTCCTCCAAAATATCATACATAAATTGTAAATGTATAGAATACTGCATCCGAATAAAATGTACAAAGCATACTTGTGAAACACAACCCCGAATGTAGGAGCATGGACCCCCAAAAATGTATCGACCCGACCTCCCCCTTTTTAGTGCATTTACTCCAATCTTATATTTTCATGTATACATTTTACACATTTCTTCTAAGAATAAAGAGTAAGCTAATCGATCATACAGAGTAAATTGCAAAAATATTTGGCGTGGCGGTAACGACGGATTGGTTTAGTTATAGTTTTCCATCCTGAAACAACAAACGTGACACAAACTGAAACGGAAAACGGAACAGAACACACCACAACCGACACAAAAAAACAAAACTACAACAACCGGATGCAAACAAAATAGCGTAAACTTTGATCGACCCATTGGCGAGGGTCATTATTAATAATAATAATAAGAATATATAATAAATAATATATTTTACTTATTATTTAGTCTGTATTTTGTTGTAAAACAAAGATTAATAAAAAGATAATTTTAATAGAGGATGTAAGGAAATGAAATTGTTTGAGTTTGCATTGAAATCTGAGAATTTGCTCGATATAGCAAGTAATTCTAATGTATCTGGAGATAGAATGTAATTAGTGTGACTGCAATCAAACTATTTTTGAATTATATTTACTTGTCTTAAATAAATCAGTAAATGTATCTGAAACGACATGCAAGTGAATTTAATATGTAATTGGATAATGATCAATCAGAATAGCAAAAGAGTACGGAAATTGCTGATTTTTATAAAAGGTAGTTTATTGAATGAATTAGGATAGTGGCAAGTGTGAAGAAGCTTTTTAAATTGCCCAAAATAATCGACTTCTGGACTTTGTCACATATGGAGTTCGAACTTATAACCTCTTTTTAAAGGTTGAACCATTTCAAAGTAATGTACAGAGTATAATAATAGAAAGATAGGATATTCTTATGCTTCTAGTTACAGTTATCAATATAAATTCAAGACAAAAGTAAGCAATTAGTTAATTAATTACCCTCAAATTATTAAAAAGAACTAATGATCGTTAAATCTCCACTTTGAAAAAGAACTGGTAAAAAGGAGTTCAAAAATGACAAGTTCTTTTGAGGTTTTGGCGTTAGTGCATTTTTGACAGGAAATCATCGCATTTACAGAGTGGCTAAAAATCATCGATAGTATCGCGTAAACATCGATTTTTGGCCATCTCCACGGTGGATGTTTATGTGGTGCGTGTGTGGCAGAATTATTATCAAAATTACTGAAACAATCAATTTCGAGTCAGCAGTTCGTCGCACCTGAGCAGATATGTCGGAAAAGAAGCGAACCCGTCGCCGCAAGGATGTAAGTGCAGCCCGTTTTCAATTAAACAGCCTTTATTAGGGGTGAGCGTGTGTGGGTGCCACAGTCCAATTGGCATGCCGAAAGTGTTTGTTTTTTGTTTTGATAGAAAACGAGAAAAAAACGTGAGTTCGCAGAAAAAAAAAGAAACCCAAAACGGGAAATGCTGATATACAAGATCAGACGGGCCATTCATATGCACGATGATTTGTGTGGGGCAAGTTCAATGCTGGTTGTGTTCTCCCCTGGACAACCCCGTAAAACACCCCCCGCCTGCAATGGTCTATAATTAGATGTGTGTGTTGTGGAAAATGTCTTGACTGCGTATTTAGCTGGGCCTGGATTTTCGGGTTTACATACTCATACTTTTCAGTCAATTAACCTGTGTCCACAAATTGAACAGCTGAGAGCTTGTAAGCTTTTCCTGGTCTGGCAACCCTGTAAGCCCGTCTTGTAAGCCGATCTTACTCTCTCTCCCTCTCTCTCTCATTACCCACACATGTCAGGTGCAGGCCCACTTATCAGCTGCTCTGGTTGTTGTTGTTGGGGAAAGTTTGAGTACGCGACAGGGGCGGGTGTCCAGGGGGGTTATGGATCCTGACCACCACAGAAATTTCAAAAATATTTTAAAAATTCTTGTATTATTAAAAAATATTACTATTCAAAATTAAAAAAATGTAAACCCCCCAAGATGCCTTCCAAATCCGCCCCTGGTCATATCTATGTACCGCTGTAAGCGTGTGTCTGTTTGTTGTGGTGATCGGCAGCTCGTTTGACCAGAGTCAAGATTCAATACTTTCTAGACTCTCGGAGCGAGTGCAACACGTCACGACCAAGAAAAACTACTACCGATTCCCATTCCGATTGGTTTTTGTCTGTTTATTAATTTATTAAGTTTGAATAATAAGAATTTACCACGCAAAATGAGCGGCGAGGAGGATTATTTCGAGGAGGAGCAGGAAATCTTCGACGATGGCACGGTATTTAGAAATAATCCCACGTAGAATATAGTCATCTGAACGGATTGAGGGTGACGAATACGAAATTGGTGTCGTGGCCTATATTCGCCTGTAGCTTCCCCCTCCCGCCCGTCGAACCAATCGATCGTGAAAGTGAGTTTCTCATCCAAATAACCGACTTTTTTCCTACTCTCCCCTTAGGAATACACCGAACCGGGTGCCCAGAAGGTGGACAAACCGTCGAAGGACGAGAAGAACGTGGCCAAGTGGCTGAAGAAGAACGTCAAGACGAAGAAGACCAAGTTCCTGAGCCACATCGTCGAGTACTTCACCTCCAGCAAGGCGATCGATGCCCTGATGAAATCCCAGTTCGCCGAGGGCAGCAGCCCGCTCTTTACCACCCGGGAGCAGGTGATCGAGTTTCTGGACGTGATGCTGGAGCACAAGTTCTTCCATCGCGCCAAGAAGGTGCCCGTCACGCTGGAGGAGATCAGGGGCAAGTCCGGTGGCGATAAGAAGGCGGACAAGGAGAAGGAAAAGGAAAAGTCGAAGGACGACAAGAAGGACACGGATCCCGAGGGTGATAATGGCCAGGGCGACGGAGGTGTCTCTGGGAACGAAAAGGAGAAGGAGAAAAAGGAGAAGAAGAAGCGCAAGATCCGATTGGACATGCATCCCGAGCAGATCTTCGTGGACGGCTCCGAGGCCTACGTGTGGATCTACGATCCCATTCCACTGCACTACTGGATCTTCGGCTTCATCCTGCTCCTGGGCGCCGTGGGCATCTGCCTGTTCCCCCTGTGGCCTCCACTGCTGCGCAAGGGTGTCTACTATCTGTCCGTTGCGGCAGCCGGCTTCCTGGTTTTCATCCTGGCCCTGACCATTGTGCGATTGATCGTGTTCATCATCGTGTGGGGACTGACCGGCGGAAAGCTGCACTTCTGGATCTTCCCCAATCTGACCGAGGATGTGGGCTTCTTCGCCTCCTTCTGGCCGCTTTATGAGGTTTGATTCGGAATGATTTCCCCCTTTTTGTTAGCTTACTAATTCCATTTTACTATCTAAACAGAGCAACTATAACAGTGACGCAAATAACTCGTCCGCCAAGACCGACAAGAAATCGAAATCCAAGGACAAGAAGAAGGAGAAGGACAGCGATGCCGAGGACACAGCTGTGGATGCCGATGGCGATGGTGATGGCGATGTAGACGCCGAGGTCTCCACACTCGAGCCAGAGAAAATCGAGCTCATCAAGGAACACGACACCGACATGGAGATCCGCAAGCGCCGCAAGGTGGGAGCCGATGAGTACGAAGAGGACGATGTGGAGGAAGAGGAGCCGCAGACGCAGCCCAAGGATTCCAAAGATGGGTAAGAAGGATCCGCTCAGTAATGACGAGGATTCCCGCTTTATTGCTCGAATTTGTATTTATGATTTGTTTTTTTTTTCCGTCGGCTTGTAAGTTATGTTTTTGCATACCAAGCAACAATTAACTCTAGCTTTTAATTGTAAAATCTCGTTTGTTCCTTAATAAATAATATTGTATGATTAAAATGCATTAATCCTATTTTTCGTTTGCGTTCATAACAATTTTCGTTTTCGTTTGCGGAGCATGTCACTTGTAAATACATTTGTTTCGTGATCTGTGGAGGCTCATTTTATTGGTAGATGGTTCTTAGATTACTCAATTTCATGGCCCATGGTGAATTTGTTACTGGTGAAATGCGAGGTATTCCACAGGTGATGTTCAAATTGGTTACGATGTAAATAATAAATTAAAATCGTACGTTTTCGCAGAGTAAGTTTTGCATCCCATACATTTGATTAAACATTTTTCGATTGTCCCTCACTTATTTTTGATGAATTCACATTGATTTTTAGTAATTTCAAACTCTTCTTGTTTTCAGAACGCCACGCAACTCGGGTTCGGATTCGGAGAGCTCGAGTAAAGATTACGAGATAATCAGTTCGAGTGAAGTGCAAAACGTTGCTGGCAACTAAGATGAAGAAACCACAATATATATTAATATTTAATGATCCACATCTAGCTAATTGATAAGAAATAGAACAAGAATCACACATCAAGTACATCAGCACATACACGATTCCAAGTACAGCGAATTATTGTCCCTCAAAAGAATACGATGTCGATGTCGTAGTTTTTGATCGATGTTTTCCTAATCCGCTTTAAGTTGAATTTAAGTTTGAAGTTTTCCACTCAATATATATTTGGAAAGAGGCGTGCAGATATGAAACACAAAATTTCCTAATTGCAATATTAAGTTGAACCATGGAATTTGAAAATTCCAGGCTGCAGTTGGATATTGTTTTTCCGCGTTATTTCTCAAGCCGTTTAACAAACTAAATATTACTTATTTCTAATCCTACGTTTGTAAATGTATACAGTGGAGCACTGGGCGAGTGCAAGAAACGATTGCAATTGATAATAATCATAGCGAGTACGTAGATGTGAGCGCATATGTCTTTATGTGCATAAATATTTACTCTACATGTAATTAAAGCGAACTAACAACTTAAAGAAATTAGTAGTGTAACACGCAATTAACTATTATATAAATAAAGCTAGGCAATTCTGATCTGATGTGAGAGATATTTGAGCGTTTTTTAGTTCTTGCTCGAACGTTTTATTAAAAAATATACAACTTACGAGGTGTCTTTGAACTTTCTTTCGAGGTGGCACTGTTTTTTACCATAAAATGATAACCGTTTCTTGCTTACAGCTAATTTTCAGATTTTATTACGTATTATAAACAATTACTCGGACTTTTCATCAATCACCACACTTATTTGAAACCTTCTTTGCTTTTTATACGGAACTGTAATAAGCAGATGATCCCTACAATTGGAATGGAACCTTCGAGGGTCTTGTTCCCGGGATAAATCTCGTGGCTTTATAATCCTACTTCTTCCAACTTGTTCTAAAGGATCGTAGACTGTGAGCTTGGCGACAAGCTTTGCGCCCAGGGGATAACCCACTAGCCAGAAGAAAATGCCAGTAGGATGCTTATTATTTACCTTTTGTGGAGCAGCTAACAAGGCCAGTGGATATTCTCGAAGTGGAAATGATCTAAGAGGACTTTTTGTGGATTATCTATGAGAAAACTGTGAAGGATAATGCTAGTAACTTACGACTCCTTCTTTAAACTGCTGTACAAAAGAAGAGACACAAAAGAGTTTCCTTTGGTGAGAAGATCGCCATCAAAGAAGAACTGCTTTGGTAATCCCTCCACTATTCGATGGCAATACTCTTGAGGTAATGCATTTGTTGCAGTTTTATGGCGATGAAATTGCTCGAAATGGGAAGCAAATGTTTTCGATTTTAATAGATTTCCGCACTTGTAAACAGGACAGACATATTCTTCTTCTGATTCTGATAAATCCTCAATGGATTCTTTTAGTCTAGCTGATCCCATGGAGATTACTTGCCAGTTTAGAGGAGGCAGTCCTTCATATTCAGTAGTTCTATAAGTCATAATTGGTTCCGATGCAGCATCAGAGTCATTTTCAGACCTACACCCCATATGAAGGCATTTTGACTCGTAGTCACTTGATGAGGACATGTTGGTTATAAGGCGAAGGGGCTTTTGGGATAGATCTTTCTTTTCGGAATGAGGATTTTGTCTTTTTGGAAAGGTCTCTCCTAGCCTTGGAGTACTTAAAATGTAATTTGAAGTACTTGGTATAAAGTCAATGCTATCTTCACTAACAACCGAATTTTTGGCATTACGAAACTCTTTCAAAGTTTCTGAAGCGTGGCTCAAAACTCCATACTCTTCTGAATCTTTATGAATACGATTTCTTTCCATTTCCGAATTTTGTTTTAAACTTATTTGTGAAGCGTTTTGATTATTTTCTTCGGAAACTCCCAATCTGTTTGTAAAAGGTTCCAGAAATTTTACAACTGACCCAGCTTCCGCCGAATTAAGCAGTTTAATTGGTTTACTCATCATTTTTTTGAGCTTCAGTTGCATCGATTTGTCTATTTGTCTCCTAATATCATAGCTCAATTTCGAAGAACTATATGATTTTAAGGGCTTTTCCTGATTTGAACGATCTTGTGGTATATCTTTCTGTTCTTTTGGCATAATATTAAAATCTAAGGAATTGTTCTTCCTGGTTTTAGTCTCGAATTCAGATTCCCTCTTCTCATTTTGTTCCTTTCTTGAACTGTCTAAATCATTATCTTTAGTATCCCATTTCACGTGTTCGGATTGAGATTCGAAAACATCTGACTGGGAAGATTTGTTATCATTCAAATTGGCAATTATTAATTTAATTGGCTTCGACTTGGTGTCTTTCTCCGGACTTGTGTCAAACAAAAAATCTTCCTGTGAAAAGTTCTGAGCTTCATAAATACTGGTACATATTTTCTCCTTTCGAATTACTTTGTTATTTTGATGTAGCAAATTGTTATTAAGACCTTCAGTATTTTGCGTTTTAAACGATAATTCAAGTTCTTCATAATGAATCTTTCGACTTCGGTATTTCATTGGATGGGCTGGCCAAACGGGTATACAAGGTTTTCTGTGTTTTTTACGTTGCCTTACAGATGGACTTGATATCCTGGGAGTTGCTAAATGGGTTATTGGTGTTTTGCTCCTACTATCATTATCTGTATTTTTACCCTGATTTCGATAAGATTGCAGTTCGTTGGGATTTATGTCAGGCAGGCGAAATTCATAGAGAGACATGGTGGGTTGATCAGTAACCAAACTTTCCTTGATATAGCTGAAAATAACTTTACCGGTATTCATTAAGTCTCTTGCAAAGGTAGCAACCTGAAGCTTGGGGATCTCTCGGCACATATGGGATATTATCTCAAAGGTTTTCACCACACCCCAATTGGTGGAAGGTTCTTTGTATCTACACACTCCAAAACTATTTACCGGTATTCTCGTCCTGATCAAATTCGCATCCTTGGGTCTAATATCCTTCTTTTTTAAGTATTCCTCTTGTTTTTTGGAAGTGTTATTTCGTGGTCGCACATTTATTACGGGACCTGTCTTCCCTTCCATTATATTCTTTTCACTTTGAAAAATGTTGTGTAAATTTGTAACACATTGATGTATTTTACAAGGCTGTGATGCGTGACATATTCTTAGCTTTTTCATGCTGTTATCATTTGGGATTTTTTCTCGATTCTTTTGCTTTGTAAAACCTCCTTTCGCCACTTTCACCTCTGCCACTTTCCTTTTATTTATGTTGACTTGATCCAACTTTCTGGGAATTCTACTAGCCCCTATATTTTTTTTAAGATCCTGCTCTGAGTTTTGCTTAACGTTTCCGCAGCGACCACACTTTAAAGATATTGATTGGGATTCCTTTTCTGTTGTGTTTGGTGAAGAGTCCTCTACTTTAATGAATTCCCGTTCCCAGCTAGAATTGCTCAGTGTTTTTGAGAAGAGTTTGGTGTAATCTTGATAGGGCTTTGTTTTATTTGAGGAAATTACAGTCTGTTCAGTTGATACATCACTTAGCAAAGAACCTGTTTCGGGATCCTCAGGCGACAGGTTGTTTATAGTCAGGTCAAGTTCATCCATTTCGGGAGTCTTTTCTACTTTGTCCTCCTCGGAGCTTTCGGCTTGTAAACTGAAAAGTTGATCCATAATAGAAGTCATGATGGAGGATCTTTCAGCCTGTAGACGTTCGTATTTTTCCGCCAGAGTTTCTTGGACGGTTTGCTGGTGAATTGGCGAATGGTAATTTAAGTTGGTGGAGGAACTCTTGTTACTCGAAGTACTGCAATCGAATCCGATTTGATTGATTGTCTTGATTAAATTTTCGCGTACTGATTTCGTCATGAAGAAGATCCCAGATAGATTTTCATTTCCCTCATTCGAACGACTCAAGGACTCGATGCGATTGTTGGGCAAATCCTGGCGTGGTTCAATGAACAGTGACTTGGGTCGATGGAGTAGCTGGCGAGCACTGTTCTCGACGAGAGCGTCCTCCGAAGGACCTTCGTACCGCTCAAAGGGGCAGAACTGACTGGCCAGCTCGTTGGCGATATCCAGTGAATCCCTGGACTTGGTTCGCCCCAAACCACCGCCCTTCTCCCTGTTGTCTAGCTCCTTTTGGTTGTTGGTCAGAATCTTGGAGAGCGGTGGCAACGGACGACTCCTGTGGCTGCGTGGCGGAGGATTCCTCTTGGAAATGGCTCCTCCAAAGGTATCTGTAATGGGACTCTGCAGGGGAATAAAGTTGCTGACAAATAGGTGGCTATAGTTCTGGCTCAGGTGGTTTGTCCGGCTGAAAACGTCATGGGCCATGGCCACTAGGCTAGGTGGTGACCCCGATAATGGAGGTGGAGGTGGTGGTGTTGGTGGAGGAGGTGCTGCCCTTGGCGATGATGGTGGCGAAGGCGACGAAGGGGGCGGGGCCGTGGGCTCCTGCTGACGACGGGGCATCCCCCTTGGTTTCGAGTACAAGCCGTGACGGCCTGCATACACCTTGCTCTTCACCTCTTCGGGTCCACCAGTACCAGTACCTTCTTGACCAGCTTCAGCTCTGGCTAGGCCACCACATTTAACACAGCTCGTGCGGCAACACCGCTTGTCCTTGGGTTTCTTGGCCCTTATGGCCACCTTCACCCGGGAAACCTGTCCCTTTTTGGGCTCCTCCGCGTGACGTTGCTCCGGGAGATTCCTCTGGACATCTGCATCCTCGTCGCTGGAGGAAGCGAGTCCCGCCTGGGGACGTCTGGCCAATCCGCACACCTCGCAGAGCAGATGACGATTCACCGGAATGTGGAGCACCGCCCGGGGCAGCTTCTCGCACAGGCACCACTCCCGCGGCCTCGTCAGCCCGCTGGTCATGTTGTTCATGTACAACGAGTACAGCTTGTAGAAGCGAAACATCAAAAGCGAACAATTTCGATTTTTCGGGCAGCAATCAGATCGAATACTCAATCAGATCGGGCGTTAAAATGTTTACCGGCGATTCATGTCAGTTGTGGAACAGGGTTGTCGTCCTTTAGTAATATTGAATAAAATTTTAGTTGATCGAATATTATGTGATTGGAAAAAATTTATTTGAATAACTAGCTGACAGAGTCCAAAAACAGGCACCAAACAAAATGATAAAAGTTTTTGATTTTTATTTTTAAAGGCCTACTGCTAAGTTTTCTAAGAGAAATATAAACTTTATTTAACTTATAAAAGTCATTATTTCTATTTGCCCTTTTTTATATTAGTAATTTAAAAAAAAAAAACAAATTTAAAATATTTATTTTGATTAATGTAAAATTAAATCAATCTACTTTTAATCTACGCAACTTAAGATGTACAGATTTATTAACTTTAAATATTAATATACCTTTTGCTTTTTGCCATACAATTCTTTGTAATAATCAAAAAGGGTTTGGTAGGTTTCTCTTGCAAAAATATTTCTTAAAGAATTTTATTCTATGAAAAGCAATCTTCCATTGTGCATGGGAATTATTCAAACTGGCTATTCACTTGTCTTTGTTTGCATTTTCTGTAATTTGTAATTGAAGTTTATGTGGCCGGATGGCTCTGATTGTACGTGTTCTGGCCCCTCACCGAGTTGGGAAATTTAATTAAGTTTCAGCTGCATTTTTAATGCACCCACATATTCAATAGAGTGTTATTGCATTATTGTTTTTATTTTGTATAGTTGTCCGAGTGAAAGAGCTTCTCTTCACTGGACTGCTGCGTCCTTCGAAACAATTCACAAAATACGGTTAAATATACTATGCATACTCGGCCACATCCTGGAAAAGGAGATTAGTTGCATGCCAATCTAAGTGAAATTTCATGTCTCATATGCAATTACAGTTCGGGTAGGAGGATTACAGAGCACATATACGTATATATTAACACTTATAATCGACAAGCACACTTCACCTTGTCATTCAAACGTACCTTGAATTTATTTCGATTTTTCCTGCAATAAATATGCACAAGGCAACGCAGGAGCACAAAGTGCAAGCAGTTGACCCAAATACTCGGCTCCTTCGGCAGCATCTTGTTTAATTAACTCGATAGGATTTGATTGATTGGCCTAATCCCTCAGCTTTTCCAGCCCCAGTCAGCCCATCGCATCAACACCACCTCAAAACCCGTCCATTTATCCAACCCATTTCCCGGGCAAAGTCAATAAACACATTAAAAGCGCATCGCCTTACAAAATGTTCTGCATCTTCGGCTCATTGAGCAGCTTTTGAGGAGCAGATTCGATGGGATTCGAGGCCAAGGCGTTTGGCAGGGAATTTATGCACTCAAATCAAGCAGGACGATAAATTATGGACCCAGTCGCTATTCAGCCATCCAGCTATCCAGGGAGTTACTAAGTTCGAGCTGCACGTTCCTCTGTCCATTTTGAATTACAAGCCGGCTGTCCGGGATTTATGCGCGCCACTGGCCATAAAAATATTATTCCCAGACTACAGACTATAGCCCCTTCGAATCGGCGCCTAATTGTTCAGCATCGACTGTATTTCAATATATTCAACTACGATTCACAGAGAAAAAAATCTAGAAAATAAGAATGTTGATTAAAAAGAACTGTATTTCAGGAAATATCGAGATAAGATTTATTTTAAAGCATGCTACGAAAAATAATTGATTTATTTATTACATTGTTGCATACTTTTAGACACCTTGTTAAGTGTTTTCTAAGAATTTATTGTACTTCTTTTTAAAATCCCCTTAGAAATAATTTTTTTTTACCCTGTAAACTACAAAAAGCCATCGATGTCTGCGATTGGAGCAACAAAATTATTTACTCCCTGGCGAGGCATTTTAATGCGTTTTTATTGCGATACTTTTAGCGTCATTTCATTTTCGGCATTTTTCTTTGCCATGGAATTTTCACCCCACCATTTTCACTCCGCCCCGTTTTGCTTTGCCATCGCCAGCCGTAATTTTTGTAATTTTTTGGCGTGGCTTTTAGTTGGCGTTTATTGCATTTCCTTCGGCATTTAAAGAACGGACGCCCGACCCGGAAATTTAATGTGTGGTGCAACTATTTGAGGCATGCATATAGTCCACATACACATACGCAAAACGGGGCAGCTGAAGGGGTGGAAAACTGGTGGCCATTGGGGAGAATATTTTTGCATGCAACTGGAGTTGCCGGGAAAATTCATAGCATACGCTGAATGCGTACCAGGATGCCCATTTCTTTTTTCTCCCCCCTTTCCAGATCAAAGGTAATGAAATATATAATTATCCGCAATCGGCGACCACCCAGGGCAGCAATTTCATTGGGCTTCCACCTCAACTTTAATTACAGAAGCTATCCTATCCTTGGATATTCCGCATTCCCGAGAAGCCCAGCTGTACATTAAATACTTGCCATTAAGTTTTAAGCAAATTTTAATTACAATGCCGTCGCTTCCGCCATTTAACACAAAAACAATTTCCGCCCAGGCATACATATTTTAGATCAAATATTGCAACTGCTGCATGGATGGCCAAAAAGGGGTGGGGCTTTGGGGGTGCCTAAATGGGTTTTTTTTCCACTCGGATGGGCGGTTGGGCGGCTGGGCTGCCATGAAATATGAAATTCAGTTCGTGGCTACGTGACTTGGGAGTGTCTATTTTTCAGCAGCCATGGTGTTGCACAAACGCATCCTCTGTTTACTTATTTAACACAATTTTCACATTTCATAATTCAAGTCGGTGGAGTGTTTTCGCTACAAACTGATGGCTGATGGCTGATGCGGGGGGCGGGCATGCCACTCGGGGGCGTGGCTGTTGTGATACGCATGCGTAACGTCGCTTTGGGGCATCACAACGTATTTTCCGTTTAATGTTTCTCATTTTGCAACTGGTTATTGCATGCAACTCTTGGGTTTTGTGTGCTGCACTTTGTTTGGTTTTTTTTCGGCCACCTACATAAGTGGAAAGCGCTGTCTGGGATCCTCTAAGCGAGGCGACAACCTTGAAAAGCACTCAACAAATAAAAGCCAGCACTTCCCACTCACACAACTCGTTTTGTCCTTCGGTCACAATTATTATAGTTCCCTGTTATTGCAGAGCCACATCACGTATCCGCCGTGGTGGCCCACTCACAAACTCGACTTCTGATGCGACGGAAGGAAGGGAAGTTTGCCTTGCAACACAAAAACTTGGGCTTGATTTGCGGGCAAAGCTAACACGGGAAAAAAATAGTTTTCTTTTTGCCAATATTTTAATATTATAACCCAAAAGACAGCTGAATAATGAAAAAACTGTTTTTTCTTGTTTTTATCAACTATTTTAATCACTTAGGTAATTTTTTAAATTATATAATATATATTTTCAAAATTAAATTTTTATATATTTTGATATATGCTTGAAAATAAATATTTAATCTCTTTAGGGACTGTCTATATATCACGTAATCACATTTTCTTCAATTTTTGAGAGCCTCGTCCCCATGTAAAACATTTTTCATTAAAATAAATTTTTTCCCACAGGAGTAATTACTTGATTGACTCCCTCACCCCTTACATAATATATGGACAGCCCCTTACCATTTTTCATAAGAATACTATAGAAAATTTTCTGTTTTTTAGGGTTTAATTTGAAAGATGAACACATATTTAGTACCCTTTGTTTTAATTTATGCACCTAACCCAGTTATTTTTTCTTTTCTCCAGTGCACGAAGTGAGCATCTGGATGGGAAGGCCGAAGTCAAAGGTCTGGTCCTGATTGCTCCAGTGTGTGACGGAATGTGTGCCTAGATTGGATTTGATTGATTGCGGGATGGGACAGATCCAGGTGGAATGTAAATCCAGCCCAGTCGCTTTAATGGTTGTTAATCGCAGGGATCCCAAGAGAATCTTTAACATGTATCCTCGGGGGACTCAATATTTTCCTCTTTTCTTTTCGGCGAGAATGTTTTGCGGTGGGTTTACCTCAGCTACTCCAGCTACTTCCGCTGCCATAAAAGCACTTCTAAAGGTAATTGTTTAAAAATGGACTTTATTCAGTTATGGCGCAGCACTGTCCTGTTTTGGCCACACACATGCATATGCATATCCGCAGCCCCATCCGCATTCGCATCCGCATCCCCCTCCCTATTCTCTTGTAGTCTATATAGCCCATAGATCGGCTGTCTAGTCATGTGTGCGCGCTGTCCATGTAAATTTTAAGCAACTCTCCAAACTAACAACCGACGCAAATTGCTGGCTGTTGCGGTTTATTTTGTGTTGCAAAAATATGCAGCTCCCCCTTCTGTCTCCGGGTCGTGAGTCCTGGTTCCAGGACCTCTTTCCCTACCCCTGCATCTGCAGCTCCCCTCTAGTTGCTTGGGGCTGGGAACAGGGAATGGGGATCCCGATTCCGATCCCGAGGATGGTCCGGGGATTCTAGTGGCGCATTGTTGGGCCTGACTTTTTGCTGCCCGTTCAGGGAATGTGCACTCAAAATAAATTTAACACTAAATTTTAGAAAATCGCCATTAAAATTTCTTTTTTCTAAATACAAGAAAGTTATTTCTAAATCTAAGGAAATTTTTCTTAAGTCAAGAAAGTTTTCCTTAAATCCAGGAAGTATTTCTTAAATGTAGAAAATGGTTACCATGAACTAAAATCACCCTAAAATCTAGAAAAATGCCCTTAAAATTAGAAATAATTTTCTGAAAAATAGAAAGGCAAACGAAACTAATAAAATATTTTGGCAACACTTTTTCTAAAAATGAGTGCCCTAACCCTAAAATTAAGCTAACCCTAAATAATAGAAACATTTTCTAAAAATTAGAAAGTTTTTCTAAAAAATAGAAATAGTTGTTTTCACATGCTCTGGCACACCAAAATGTTCAATGCCAGAACTTGTCAGCTCCCGGGCGGCTGTACTCGTAGCGCAGACGGTTAAAGCGCTTGGTTAGAAATCGAATCGACCCTGGTTC